AAATAAAGTAGTTTCTGCTCCTGTCATATAATTTTCTTTACTAATTTTTCATTGCAAAATAAAGTCCAACAGCTCTATGGAAACATTCATGCCTAGAATAGAGAGAACTCAACAGGGGTTTTTGTCTGATATATCAAAAGTTATAATGCCATAAATCATAAAAAGAAAAAAAAGCTGAATTTCTTTGATTATTTATTAAAAGAACTGGAATCAGCACATCCACCATGTTTCCAAGTGCACACAGCTTGTCAGCAATAGGGACTCTACATACTTACTGCTTACATTTCTACTTTTTCTAGTTGTTTCGGTATGTACACATCCTGCGGTCGAGTCCAGTTCAACTGAGTTTTAGTCACATGACTGCAGGTCGCTCATCACTTCCTGGTTGCCCAGAGGTGCAGAACTTTATAGTTTTTACCGAATCAAGTCAAAGCAAGGCATTTGGTTTTTGGTGCACAATTTAGATGAAACTACAAGATTTTTAAACTTAAAATTGTTTGATATTCGTGAAGGAGCAGCACCGACGACTAGTTCAAGGACTGAAAGTTGAAAATACGGCAGTTGTGTTCTGATAAATGGTGTGATTTAGGTGATTTTTTGCTGTTTTTGTACTTTCCTGCTGCTGGTTTTGTGATCGTAAGGTTTAAATCAGTTTAAAAGAATGTATTCACCTAAAATCAAGTTTCTTTTTTTGCCTTTGTAGAGCATAAACGTGGCTTTTTCCCTGTTTTGCCCTGAAACAAGCTGAACCTCTGTATGTACGTCACATTTTTAACTTCAGGAGCTAATTCCAGCCTTTTAGTTTATATTTACTCCTGCAATAATCCCGTCGCTAACACTTTTCCTGCTCGTCCGTCCACTTTCCTGCCCCTCCTTTCCCTTTTCCTCTTTGATTTTTCTCGGTTCTGTCTGCTCCAGTTTATTGAAACGCTCGGGGCTTCGTGCCAGTTTTGGAGGACAAAACCTCGGCGCGTCTACCCGTCCGTTCGCGCTCCTGAAACGCCATCTCTTTTCTGCTTACTCACGGCTCGTGGCTTAGCGTCGCGGCACAATACGACAGTGTTCTCTCCTGTAAGCTGATTATTTTCCCTTAAAATGATTACACGAGCAGCGACCCGCCGTAACTCCCTCCTCTTGGTGTTCGGATGCATCTAATCACGGGAAATATATCCTCGCAGTCACATTAAGAGGATTTCTGTGTTTTTTTTCATGAATTTTTAATATCTGCCAGGAACAAAACAAGCCTCTAATGATGTGTGTGACGTTTCGGTACAACAGCAGGTTAGTCGTAGGTGTGACTTCCTGGGTTACTGCAGCACAAAGGCCGGCGCTGCTCCAGGCTGGAAGCGGTGACCAGAACTCTGCTACAGGGGTAAATCTCCATGCTGCTGTAAGCTAATGGAGAGTAAAGACAGAAAAGAGAGATGCTGCCCTGACGTGGCTGCTGCCGAACTCAGAGGTCAGCAAACCGAGGAGCCACAGAGGGGAAGCAGAGGAGGCTTCAGCGTGAAGGATGGGATGTGACTTTGGTGCAGAGACAAACAAAACAGCAAAAGGATGATACTGCCTTTTTTTTATATATAAATAAAACAAACAAACTGAGTTGCTTGTGTCAGGATAAAATGTTTTATGTGATGGGTGGAAATCCTGGGTCAGAGGAAAGACAGTAGTTGTGGTTGTTCTCAGTTAAACAGATTCAAGCAAGTAAATTGTAAAAAAAAAAATACAAACATCTTTTCTAATCCACTTATTGTTGTCATATTTCTTCTCAGTGAGGATTTATGTTTTTTTTGTTTGTTTCTTGGACGACTAATTTCCTTTAAAATGACAGCTGGTGGAGGGTTAATTTGGCCGCTGTTGGCAGAATTAAAAGCGAGAGAGCATTGGTTTGTGTTTGTGGTGGAACTGTTGAATGTGTGCTTTAATTCTGGGTATTTTCACACTATAATAATAATAATAATAATAATAATAGTTCCTCTGGCTGTGGAGGCTGGTGGGTGTAGCCGGCTCACAGTTATCTGGTAATCTAGAAGAAACTAGGACACACGGAAACAAAGACGTGTCTTAATGCAGATCCTGGTTCAATCTCAAAGATTAGGATTAGGGACAAGAATGGTTTTAACTGATCTGTTGAGTTTGCCACGGAGGCGTAAACGCTGGTTGATCTCAGCTTAACTGCCGCAGAAGTCTTTGTCATGGTGCCCGTTGGTGGCTGAACAAAGAGTTGTTTTATTCAGACTCCACAGACTGAGTTACGTTTAATAAGTGAAAAGTCGCCTTTTACTCCTGGATGTTGTACACAGCATTTAAAAGCAACAACTTTATGCTTTTAAGCAGCTTTCCAAGAAAACGTTGGAATATTCAGGTAGGACTGGGCCGTATCAGTAACATCGGTGTAATACTAGGGTATGATATGAAATTGAAATATCGCGATAAAACTTGAGTGAAACGTGCAGCGCAGTTGTTTTCATCTGGTTTAATGCGCATGGAGCGAGAAGCATGGCGGCGACCGAGGAGGAGGGCGAACGCATCGACCAACACAGTAGGGCTGGAGCCGGATATCAGAGTATTGTGGTGGTGTCAGGATAGCGATTTAGAGATCCGAATATTCGCCGGCTGCACAACACAGCTTTAATGCACATCCCAAACAGCTGCTTGCAAAATGGAAAAGAAATTGTTCGTTTTTTTTTTTTATTTGCACCAATAAAGTTGTTCAGTTTTGAAGTATTTTGTCAATTATATCGTCAGTTATATCGCAATTTTTCTCATTTATATCGTGATAAATATTTTTGGCCGTATCACCCTAATGCCCTATGGTAGGTAACATTTATAAAACGAGGGAAACTGAATGCAGCAGTCAGCTTCATTAGCTGACAGGTGCTGTATGTCTAATGTCAGCTAGCATTAAGGCTACATGGGCTGCAAGAAGGTCGCCGGTTCCTGTCTTCGGCTTCCTCCCACAGTCCAGAAACATGCTGAGGTTAATTGGTGATTCTAAATTGTCCGTAGGTGTGAATGTGAGTGTGCTTGGTTGTCTGTCTCTAAGTGTAGCCCTGTGATAGACTGGTTACCTGTCCAGGTGAACCTGCCTTCACCCTGAGTCAGCTGGGATAGACTCCGCCCCCATGACCCTAGTGAGGATTAAGGTGTAGAGATGATGGATGGATTAAGGCTAGTTTAGCTACTTTTTATGTTGGTGACATTTGATCCGGTTAGTTTTGCCTCCATATTCCAGCTCAAGAACTTAAAAGAACTTTACACACCTACATCCTGTCATCATCACCTGATTCTCCTTATGTGTCACATGGATCGGTTGGTTCTGACATTGGTAGAGTTTTCCTGCTGCTGCAGTTTGTTTTATCTTTACAGGGCATTGCTCTCCTGTCCTCTTATATCTGCTCTTTCTCTGAAAAATGCCTAGAAAGCGTCGGCATTTTCACGAGATTTGTTGTAGTTGACTATCGATAACTTGGTCCTGTTTTCTTCCCATAAATAACAGTTTTCCTGCTCTGACTATGGCCTGCTGTAACCAGCTTTAAGTGGTTTGACTCTGGACTATCCAAAACATTCACAGTCGAAACAAACTGACTGATATGGACGAGGAGTAAACTCTTTATGTGAGACTGTTGTTTAGCTGATGAGTCCACATCTGTACGTTTGGTTTGGATGAAACTGATTTGAAACAAGTCAGCTGTGGAAGAGCCCTGAGAAACAGATGTTTAAGGTCCAAGAATGATCAATAAAAGAAGATTTCCAGCGTGGTTTCGCCAGACGTTGGTTACTAACTGTAGCTCAGTCAAACACACATAAAGCTTCTGTTTTTCTGTATAAATCCAGTGCTGAACCTTCCTGTGGCTGATGTTTAATCTGAGAACCAGATCCCCATGGTTCCTGACTCTGCAGAGCTTTCTGTTCCCATGTTCTTGTCATGTTTAAATCCCCACACGACTCTCTCTCTCCCTCTCTGTGTCACCCCCTCCCTCCCTCCCTCCCCCCTTCAGGGCTCCTCGTCTTCCGGTCGGACCCGTAGTTTCTCTCTCCTCCCCCACCTAACCCCATCTTCATCCCCGGCCTCCCAGAGGCACCTGGGCCACGCAGCCTCGCCCAGCAACATCGTCACCATCACCCACCACAAATCTCCAGCTGCAGCTCGGCGGGCCAAGAGCCAGTACCCAGGACGGCTGCTGGAGGTCAAAGAGGTGGGTGGTGACGGCAGAGCGGCGTCTTAAGCAGCAGTTTCCTAAAAAGAATGTACAGACTCATAGAAAAGTCAGTCGTTATGTACAAGCCACCAGAAGTGTGTCTCGGTGTGTTTCCTCCGCCTCTGCTGTCCTCAGATTTTGTTGTTTGGATGGTTTAACCTTTTGGTAAAGTTGCCTCCAGCTAATAACAGGTAACGTCGGCACTTAGTAAAATGGTGCAGATCAGCCCTGGCAGATGTGGCACCAAAATAGCCCAAATATTACGGGATTGAACGCCAAGCGGTGAAAGCTCATTCCAAAATAAGAGTGGATCTGGGGTTGGCTTTCTCTAAAGGAGAGGACGTGACATGGAGTTACCCTGTTTGCTCTTGGAGATATAAAGGCTCCATTACAGCAAGTTGTTTTAATAGCAGCTTGCAGCGCTTTTGGCGGCTTTGAGCAAACTCTAAATGTTGTGTTTTCAGACAGTAACTAACAATCCGAACCCCAAAACCTGCTGGGATTCTATCCTGAACCATTCATCAGAGCCAGAAACTGTAAAATCTAAGAGAATAGTCAGATTTTCCACTTTTGTCCTTGAACTACTCATCTGTGACGAGATGTTCTGTCGGCAAAATGATGCTTGAAACTGTGATATTTCAGCAAAATTACTTCATGCTACTTAAAAAAGAATTCACCACAAATGAACCATCTGTGGTAGCCTGTAAAAAAAAACCCAAAAAACATCAAACATCTGTCCCCTTTGGCACTACAATGGATCAATTAGTGACTCACTCAAGACTTTTGGGATGAACTGCAGGCTGTGTTTACTCAGAGCAGACAGGAGAGTCTGGAAATTAATTAAAAATCTGAGTTGAACACTTTTTATAGCATGTACAGTTAATATTTCCCCTCCAGTATTGGTGATACTTGTTTTTTTTTCCAATTTGCATTAAATAAACAACCTTAATTCTATTTTTTAAGGCATTATTCACAGCGTTTTAACTGTACTGTACTGAACAGAAGACAGTTTTCAGTTCTCACTACTTCTAGTCATGGTTGTGCTGTTTCCATAGATGTGTAGGATTTTATACTGCAGTAAAAAATGAGCCTGTAGTTAGGAAAACAAAAAAACAAAAAAAAAAACCCAGAAATCTTTGCCCATCTTAAGCTGTCACATGACCTGTAGGATTACATTAGTTTAGCTAACTGGGGGATTAGTTTAAAACTCTCCACAGTTCCAGATTAACTTAAGGACAAAACTCCAAAACTAAGACTCAAGCTGTAATAAACTGAAGTTATTCTTTAAATATTCGAGCCACGCTAACACCTAAACTCCATCTTTAAGGGTTTATTCTGTCTGACTCGCACCACAGAGCTGCACTGTGTTCGTGTGGTCTCTGGTCTCAGGTGGGACGCTGGTGCAGTGAGTTCAGCAGATATTTCTGGCTCTCTCAGGCCCGATGCTGCGCTCGCTCTTCGCTGCGAGTTCGGCTTTGTTGGCATTTTTATTGTATATATTAATACTGATTAACATGGCGGGTGACAGAGGGAAGCATATGTTGTCGGATCTGCGCAGCAAGTCGAGTGGCGAATGCGTCGGAAGATAAATCGTGGAGGTGATGGAAGTGGAAAAGCGTCCATATGGAACAGTCCTGCCGATCCCTGCACGTTTTTCCATAAGTGGTTAAATTTACAGGCCCACGAGCTCGTCGCCAGTTAATTAAAAACCCTCTCCACTTGAAATTTCCTATCAGTTCTGACTTAGTTTGAAGTTCAAATCCTCATTAATTCTCCCCGCCTCAGTCACCAGACCTGTCAGCTCTGGTTACCGCTCCGTCCTCATCTGCTGCATCTCCGTGCACTCGGAGCAGTCAGTCACTCTTATCTCTCAAGAGAAGATTGTTTTTTTCCCCGTCGCTCCTTAATAGCCTGTCTCGAGTCGGTTTATAGTGATTAATTGCGAGAGATTAGGCTTGAAGTTGGGTTTGTGAAGCGAAAATGATAGACATGATGAAGACATGATTGTGCGCCCGCCTGGCTGCCAAACTATACGGCCATTAGCTGCAGCTTTTTGTTTTTTGCTTTCACCCCTTTTGTTTAGAGACGAGATGTTCTTTTCGGATCGTTGCCAGGCAGCTGTGCATCTGGCCGCTGAATTATGGAGATAAGATGACTTAGCAGTTAGGACGGAGGAGGAAACGTGGACAAGGAAAGACAAGAGGCTTTCTAAATGTAAAACACTTGTGCCGGTGTAAACGGTGGGTACAGAGGAGGAGAAATAAAATCTGACAGGGAAGAGGTCGCGTCTGGCATCGTGGAAAATGTTGTTTGATCCTCACGGGACTCGTTTCTGTCCTTGAGCTGCAGGAACACAAACTTCTCCCTTTTAATTTATGTGATTTCTGTGGCTGTTGTTCAGACCAAAAGGATGGATTGATTCCACAAATGTCACTTTTTTTTAGTACTTGGGTCAAAACTTGGATGCAAAATTAGTCAATTATAGAGGAAACGCTCACAGTTACTACCAGACTTTTCTCAGCTTTATGTAGCATTTTAGCATCTTTCAGCTCATTGTTTTGCTTTTTAAATGGCCCACCACCCTGCTGTTGTAATTAAAGTGACAACAGGCAGAAGTTTTATTATCCGCAGAGACCCTTTCATTACAGATGATGCACTTATGTGGCTCTTCGCTGCAGAAACTCAAAGTTTACAGGAGCAGTCTCGTAGGCGTCCCTTTCAGCCTTCCTTTGTCGACAGTGGTTTGGGATCCAACCCTGTGATGTTAACTCCACCAAAGCAAAGACAAATAGCAGTCAGTGGATGTGACGCTATACTTCTATGAGCACACAGGAACAGTGGAGGCTATCATGTTCGCATATATGGTCGATTTTACATTGAAGATGTTAGAAATGGGCTGCAAGGTGGATCAGTGGTTAGCACCGTGGCCTCGCAGCTAGAGGGTTGCCGGTTGGCGTCCCGGTGAGGACACCTGGGATCTTTCTGCGTGGAGTCTCCCTGTTGTCCCCGTGCAGCGTGGGTTCTCTCCGGGTTCTCCGGCTTCCTCCCACAAGGTCTAAAAACATGTTGAGGTTAATTGGTGATTCTAAATCCTCTGTAGGTGTGAATGTGAGTGTGCTTGGTTGTCTGTCTCTAAGTGTAGCCCTGTGATAGACTGGTTACCTGTCCAGGTGAACCTGCCTTCACCCTGAGTCAGCTGGGACCCTGGTGAGGATGACGGTGTAGAGATGATTGATGGATGGATGGAGGAGAAGACTGCTGCTCGATGAGAACAAACGCTTGCTGTCCTCTCCGTGTTCTACCTGTTTTCTTTTATTGGTGTAAAAACCCACACAGCAGCTTTTCAGCGCCGCTCAGAAGAACCAACCCTGGAGTAGGTTCTTTTTTGTCTTCCCAGACAATCAGGAGCTTCTTCAGGGGCGGTTCTTGCGATCAGAACATGCTCAAAGTGTCGGGCCGACCCAAAATTGGCCCAGAAACTACTACGGTTTCTGGCTCGTGTTGGTTTCCTGGTATCTCCCGGTTCACTGTCTGGCTGTGATAGCGGCACGGCTCCTGCCAACGGCCTGGGTACCGTCCAAAGCAAGAAACCACTGCAAGAGTCCCAGTTTGAAATAGAAACCCTGATGTCAGTGATAGAGACAGAGTGAAACATCCGGTTGTCTGAACAAGAAGCAGGTTTTGTTAGTTACTGATCCGGTTGAAATAGTGGCATCTGCTGTGACCCTTATCCAGACTGAACACCTGTCCGTGGTTCAGCTTCCATCACCCTCACTCTTCTTTTCCTCCTCTGACAGCGACTTGAGTTTTCACAGATTGTTTTTACCGTCTGCAATTTCAGGTACCAGGGGAAAGCTGCTGATACCTACCGGGGAAAACAGAAGCGTCTTCCTGTTTTAGTAGCACAATTGCAAATGCACTTCTTTGGTTGTGTTAATCAAGGCTTCATTTTCCTCTGAGATACCCAGAAACAGGCGAAATTGCGCAGTGAAAGTGAGACGCGTAGAAAACCGCCCTGAATGCTGATCATTGTTGTGCAGCCAGTATATTGTGCACTTTGTGATGAGTTGAAGTAAAAAACGTACAGACTGCGTGTCATCAGGAGGACTGTCGCTCTGCGTTTTCTGTAAACAGTCAACTATCGCATCAAAAGATATAATTATTACAGCTCGTTTGCAAAAAAAAAAGCATTAATGCAGGCTTAAAGGTTCGACAGTGATTTGCATCAACACCGGCCAAATGCAAATTCACAGCTGGATGATGACACCACATCTCTCATGGAAAATAATGAACTTGATTACTTGTGGGGCTGCAGCCACTCATTATTTTCATTATCATGTAATCTTGTGCACCTTTTGATTTAATCACATCGCAGGTTTCTTGAGCCCAAAGTGTCCAATCGCTGGTTTTATCTGACACTCGGTCCACAAAGGGAGAAAACCCCTCTCTGTAAATGTGCTATTTTGATTTATATCTTTCATTGTTTGATGGCTAATTAGCCGAACACTTCCCAGCTTCTTCTTTAGCTGTCAGGCACCTTGAACACAGCGTCCGACCTTGCTGCTCAGCTGAAGGTTGCGACGATGAGAAGACCGGCTTTCAGCTGTAGATATCCGATCCTCGTTCCAGAATAACAGACGACTCTTGCTTACTGTCTCTCTTAAGCCGGGACAGAGGAGCTTTGTATGATGCCTGCCAAAAGAAAGCATGACTTCCCTAATGACCCGTCATGTAATTGAACCCTCGCAGCGGGATCACAGCACCTTGTGCCGCCGTGTCACCTTTCCCCAAAGTGAAGCTCCGGGGAGTGGAGCAGCGAAATCATTAGCGAAAAACAGCGCATTGAAAAACTCGCCATTTGCCACGACGGTTCGTCTGCACGTCAGTGTGACGACACACTCGGAGGAGCATCAATATTTCATGCGGGGCTTTTTCTTTCATGCCTTTCTCGCTCATTGAGGACCTGGCTGTTACATTTCCCATTCAGATGCGCCATG